TTTGGTTTGGTTTACTATTTACATTATTCGGACTATCGTCCTCATCTTTGCCGCCATTTTCATTGCAACGTTTCGGCCGTACTGTTCTAGTTCCACGTGCCATGTTTTAATGGATGTCAGTTATCATTTATCTCCTGTTAATTCCCCTCTCCAAGTTCTCCACTGCCTTAACCGGGTATTGAACTCACACACTTTGGGTCCTGACTAACACCTTTATCCACTGTGCCATGTGTCCTTGGCACGTGAAACTAGAACGGTCTACCCAAGTGAGCGAAATAAAGGGTTCAGTTCGATATTCTAACCACCTGAAGAAGGCCGGAGCGTACAACGGCCGAAACGTTGTAATAAAAATGGCGACCAAGATCAGAACAATAGTCCGAATAATGTAAATAGTTTAGTTTGGCTTGTTCGGCATATCAACCTCCGTAGGTTATTTAATGCCGACAAGATTTTTATTGCTGGTAGTAATTTTTTTCAAAAATGTATTGCTGCTAATATATATTTTTCCAAAAATGTATTGCTGGCAATATTTTTTTTTCCAAAAATCTATTGCTGACAATATTTTTTCCCAAAAATCTATTCCTGGTAATATTTTTTCTTCAAAAATATACTGCTAGTAATATTTTTCCTTCAAAAATATATTGCTGGTAATATTTTTTCCTTCAAAAATGTATTGCTAGTAATTTTTCTTCAAAAATTTATTGCTGGTAATATTTTTTTTACAAAAATGTATTGCTGGTATTAAAACCTATTTTTACATTTTCATAGTGTTTTGACCCCAGTTTGGGTGGGGTCAACTATTTGCCCATAGCTGGGACTCTAGCAGGTGGGTCAGGGTGGACCTGGGAACACCAGCGATTAAGATGTGGCGCTACGCTCCTCAAAGTCTCCTGATCAGAGGCCTTGTTGTTGGACATAGTTTATCGTCTTACCCAGGACGCGGATGTAGTTTATCGTCATACCCAGGACGGAAAAGGATTTTGGTTCACCAGAATCACTAGGACTTTTAACAATTGTGTTCTTTTTCCAGAAAAAAAGTTCGATTCACAGGTTTCACTGGATTCACTTTGATACCGCGTCTTTTTTTCTATTTGCTTCAGACCAGCTCATCCACTGATGAAAGCCAAAAAACTTGTGCCTTCAGGTCGAAATTTTCATGCCTTCTGGTCTCCTCGAAATTTCTACAATTATACAAATTATCCGCTAACCCGTTTTCTTATATACCAGAATTTGGAACCAGTGAGAAATTGTCCGCTTGAGGAGAATTTCAGGGTTTCAAGGGCGAAGGATTGGAACCACGGATTGGTAAACTCAAAGGGTTAACTTTCAAACTCTCCAAGCCGGCAAACCCGGCAATGAAGATCCGTCGGTGCAACTGAGGTCATTCTTGTTTTTGTTTTTGTTTTTGCTTTTTCGTTAGCTCTTGTGTTTTTTGCCACTACAAAAATAATCCATGTAAATGTATACGTAGTAATACGGAAAAGAATTAAGATTTTCAGTAATATATATGCATACTATTTGGAATGTACCTTTTGAGTCGGACAGTTTTTGAAAGGGGTCGGAATGACATCCTGACTTATGGTGAAAAAGGTGCATTGTGAAAAATAACTTGAGACCCACTGTTATATATCCTCGAAAAAGGCTCAAACTTTTAAATTCACGTGGGTGGAATCCACCCTCGTTATTGATCAGTAGATTCAATATGTATATGCATTTTTAAATTTTAAAAAGATAATCATAAACAGTTCGTCTTGACCGAATTCATTTCAGCGATTATTTTTGAGTCAATTCTATATTTAGTAAATCTAACAACGTTAATTTAATTTGACAATGTGTGTGTGTGTGTGTGTTTCGGGGATTTGTTTTGTGAGCCGGATGAAGTGCTCGGAGCCTCTGTGAAGTGTGCGGCATTTTTCTTTCTATTTTTTTTTTTTTTTTTTTTTTTTTGATTTCTTAGCGTTCACATCCAGCCGAGATATAGATTGAATCAGAAAAAAAAATCTAATTTGACGCAAAGTATAACAATACTGTACATTTTTCTAACTACATGCTGTACATAAGTTTTAGGTACACAGTGAGGATCGAATTCATTTTAATAGTTTGCGTGAGGACTCTGATAGTCATTGCTGTGGTCAGATTTGTAATGACTTAAATAAAACAGTTTCATATATAAAACAATTACTGACTATTATCAGTAGTAGTATTATTTATATAATCTGTTTTGTTTAAAAATGGATTTTATCTTTATTGAGCTGATCTAAAGAAAAAAAAGCATTGTATCATTAAGAATGAAGGCAACAAATTTTGCCGGCTTATAAGACGAACTTAAAAAATGATTGAAAAAAAATAATCCTCTATCTTATATGCTAAGTTGAGGCCTCTCATAGCTTACGGCCATATCACGTTGAAACACCAGTTCCCGTACGATCACCGAATTTAAGCAACGTCGAGCCTGGTCAGTGCCAAGATGGGTGACAGTTTGGGAATACCAGATCCTGTAAGTTTGGATGTTCGGGTAGTTTAATGGATAATGGCTCGAAATTGTTAATCGGAAAGCCGGGTTCCAATTCCAGTTGGGTTCGTTATATTCACTTACGCGCAAATACTCTTGGATAAGGTACAAACCTGTCTCTCCCCCCAGCTATGGGTTAATTAGTATGACTTGTATCACTAAATCATTATTAACTCCTCCGCCCAATTCTTCCAATCTAACAATATTTTAAATAAACTACAAGGGTTTGATACGTCATAAAAAGTGAATTAATCAATCATAGTTTAATTGTAACTCCAACTTCAGGCTATATATATATATATATAGAGAGAGAGAGAGATTTTTAATCTCAGACAGTCACTTCTAGCCAGCCCAAACACTTAAAATTATTTACTGAAGTGATGATGATATTATTATCATTACCACCACCTCCGCTACCACCGGTTAATAAATGATCGTAAGAAATTATCGATGATGTTCTGTTTTGGTCTTATTAATGTGACCATGTACATTTTTTTACCAATGTGTTTCCTCGTCTTTAGTTCAGTTGTACTAACCGCTTGTTTTTTTTATGTCAGAGATTTACTTAAACTGTGAGGAAAACTTGAAAGAAGGCGTTGCGGGATTCTAATAATATGTTTAGGTAAATATTTAGTCACCATTATGTTGTGAGAATCAATACTTTGGATAGTAAATATTTACGCGCTTCTGGGACATTTATCCCTCAAACAATACTGGCGGACTCAATGTGAGTCCAGGTAAAAACAGTGTAACAAAAATCATGAAAAGTCAATGCATGTATTCAGTCATATGCTATACGTGATACACGCTTCATTTCCAGTGTCTCTGCTTCCTTCTTCCCTTTGTACCTTTTATTTCAGGAACAGCAAGAATTCAACGCGGATTTGGAGTTTGAACAGAATCCCCCAAAGAAATATACCTTTTTAAACTCCGAATTTATTATGTCTTTATTCGGTAGACCAGTTGCCATCGAAGGCTATAGAACCCAGTCTGTCCTACTATTTTACTCATAGCGGGGGGATAAGAAGAGTATTCTTACCTTACGTGCTAATACCCTTGGGTATTAGCACGTAAATGAATGTAATGGATTTGACTGGAATTTGAACTCGGCTCTCTGATTACTCAATCCGAGCCGCTATCATGCATATATTAACAAAATAATTTACATATGTAGACAACTGTAACGAAATGAAAAACATTAAAACAAGTTATAACAAGAATTTGCTTGTTTGTGTATGTAAGAAGCGTGTGTGATAGACACGTATGTGTATATGTATGTGTGAAAGAGTTTGTGGTGGTATGTTAACAAGTATGACCGTTTGTAGATGTCTGTTTATTAACATGACCATACGATTTATATTTAACGTAAAATACCACAAAATATAAAACAACAAGAAGGAACAAAAACGGTTTTATAACAACAACATTTATATTTATTTCTGTGTAATGGTGTACTTGCGTAGAGATTACCATTTTGTTGGTGTTATGTCCCTTTGACTGAATTAAAGTTTTACAGATGAGTTGAAATATTTTTATCTGAGCTCACAAAAGTTGAATGAATTATAAATCTGAGAAATGCTGAATAAATTGTAGCTTTAGAAAAGTATTTCAAAGAGAAAAGTTCTTGCTGCATGTTTGGAAATGTTAGTATGTTTGTAATGTAGGTTGGAAAATTTCGTACGTACGTGCATGCGTGAATGTGCTTTTAACGTCTGACCGCTCATGGTCGAGACGGGATCCTTTAGGGTTACATCTTAGCAGGAAAAGAGAAGAGAAAAAAGAGAATGAGGAAGTTCGTGTCTGCTATTTATAATTAATGCAATCACGTGACAGGCTCCCAGAAAAATGGCGGGAAAACTTGACTTGGTCACGCGCTGGAAAAATATTTGTATATGGGTGGATTGCAACGCCAACTTGTGTGTTTATTGACCAATTAGAAGCTGATATTTCCTGAAAATCTGTATGAAGATGGGTAAGCTCTTTGATCCTTTTTTTTTTTTTACACAGATTTGTACAAAATTCAACATTGATAAGAAAGTGGTAGCGGGATGCTAAAAGTTCAAAGTCAAAAGAGGACCAAGGAAACGAACACGCCTTGTCAGCAGTGTTTCTATCTACGAACGTGTTGAGTAAGCGGAAATGAACAATATCAAATCTAAGAAGCAAATGAAAAAAAAAAATAAACACACTGTGCAATTATTTCAAACATACTTCAAAATTTCAATTTAATAAAAAATCATCTCCCGCCAATAAATAAACACAGGCTTCGGGAGCTTACACAAGACCATAAAAACCAAACATTCATTCAACATGGTAGAAGGACTGACAGCAGTTTAAGAGGCACGAGTCAACCTCGTTGTCCTGCCTTTTCTCACCAAAGCAACAGCGAACTCCCTTTGATCTTGTCTCCCAATCCCATTTTCTCTCTTCCCCACTGAAAGACTATGTTCATTTCTTTTCCGTCAAAGAGAAGAACTTTCTTTCATTTCACGTTAAGTAATTTTCAGTTAAAAATTGTATACCTTAATTAAATATCATCACTGCATTTAAACACGAGACAATCTCTCGTTTTTTTATTTAACAAACGGTGACCCATGGAATCTTTCTCCAACGCACAAATACATCTGAAAGCCAGAGCTAAAAAGAGCTAAAAGAGGGCGTGTGAGAATATCATTGCCTATTTATAGGCTTAAATAACGCTCCCCCCCCTGCTCTGGTGGCGTTTTAGCAAAGCTAAGTGGAATAACCCACAAAGGTTTAGAAAATTTGACACTCGCAGGACATATTGAAGGTAAGAGTGTGCGGATCTATTACGCACGAATATACATACATACAAAAATACAAATCACATACAACGCCAAGCATTCATTGGTTAATAAATCACCACTACATTACTACAGGCAATTTACAAATCGCAGTAATGCGACAATTTTGTAATCGCTCTATTTTTAAGTAGTCAATTTTGTGCACTTCTGGGAGAAACGAATCACAGAAGCTTTCTTAAGTCTCTCCAAAGCGGGTTCGGTGATTGGTCGATGCTAACCAATCAGATCGTTTGCACGTGAAGAATAATTCTTCCCGCAAACGATTTGGAGCCTATAGTCGCTTATTTAAGCCAAGATTTTTCTAATCCCAACTAGTGAGACCTCAACTGTTGACACACAGAGACAGTTTTGACTTTTTTCTGACTGTTTCTCTCACCCCCCCTTTTATTTCAGTACTGTGTAGTGAGACTGTTTCTTTTCAGCTGCTTATTTTTTGGACGAACTTTCGTGTGAATAACATCGGACCTTTTTTTTATCTGATAAGTTATTGTTTTATTTTCATTCTTTTTAATTTTTTCTATTTCTTTTGTTTGTTTTTGATTTGTGTTTGGGCCTTGGCTCACATTTTTTCCTTTTTTTTCCTTTTTTTAGTCCGGTAAGACTTTGTCAAACCGGACGACTGCTTTTTTATTTTTATTTATTTTCTTTATTTTTAAAAAGACCAGTTTAGAAAAAAGAAAAAAAAAAAAAGCTTTCTATTTATTTCTTTTTTATTTTTATTTCTTTTAGCGACTTCAGTCGCCTTCTTTCTCCTTTTTTATTTTTACTAGTTTATTTTTTTTTCTTTTAATTCAATTTTTTTTAGCGGCGTCAGCCGCTAAACTTTAATTTTTTAATTTTTGTACATTTGTTTGTTTGTTTTGGAAAAAAAGAGAGAAGTTTTTTTGGTTTTTCTTTTTATTTTCGGCTGCCTTCGGGCGCCATTTTTATTTTTATTTAAAAAAAAAAGACTTACCTGTTTATTTTTTTTCAGTGTTTTATTTGTTCGGCTGTATTTTCTTTAAATTTCCTGGTTTATCCAGGCTTTCTTTGGTTTTTTTCCCCCAACTCCTCTCCCTGTGTGATAAATCGACAGAAACCCGCTAGTGGTTGTATCCAAGTTTTCAGCATGGCCGACGAAGGCGGTCGGGCCAAAGTGAAAAAGGACCTCTTTGGGAAGGTGGACAATGCCAACCCAAGGGAGAATGAGAAGCGGGCTGGAGAAAGCCCAAAAGCGGACAATAGTCCCAAAATTGACAAAAATACCTCCAGAAAAGGAGAAAGTTCGAAGAATAATGTTGCCCCTAAAGACGCTTTAGTGAAGTCAAGTGAGGAGTCGCCCTCTTGTTGGAAGTCCCCTCCGAATTGTATACTGAACATGGCGGATTTCCTGGACAAGGCGAAAGGTTTTGCCCATCTGGTGAAAAAAGATGGCTTCGTCGATGATGTCCAGGAACTCGGGATGTTCGCCAAGAGAATGGTGACCGTTTTTGTGGTCGACAAGAAAACCAAAAAGATTTGTCGCTCCACAAAAGACATTGTGATTAAATCACTTTTGTCCCTGGGGATAAAACCCCAAAGAGTCATTAAAGGTAGGGGATTTTTCATGTGGGACATTCTGCTGCCCACACCAGAAGATTGCCTGGCTATGGCCAAGAAAGAATTAATCACTAAGGATCTAATTCTGAGAACAGAGTATGAGGGGCGCAGGCGGACCAGGGTGGCAGTTTTGAGGTTCCTCCTCAAATTTCAGGAGAGCTTCTGGCTGCATTTTTTTGCAGTATGGCCAGATTTTAGGAGCTCTCTCCGACAATCTGAACAGGGGATGGACGTTTGATATCATGCTGGATCAAGAGGCCTTCAAGTCCGTCCCCAACTGTTTGGTTTTAGGTGACCGGAAAATGCCGGTCATTGTGACTGGTAGGCGACCGACTTGCTGGAGGTGTGGAGAGACTGGTCACCTTTCCTCCTCCTGCCCAGGAAGAAGGCCCCTGGGTTCCGGTCACAGGCGACCAAAATACCCCCTTGGCCGATAAGGTTAAATCCGCGACACCTGTAATGGGTCTAGCTGCGAGGCGGACCGATGGGCAAAGTCCCTCGGTTGGGTCTAAGCCCACATTGCCCCCGAAACCGACGCCTGCCACTAGTGTGGTTAAGGAGAAGGATGAGGGGGAATGGCACCTC